TTCAAGAATATTTTTAAAGGCCTACATAAGGCGTGGATTATATAAAGAATTTTTTAATAGCCTATATAAGGCGTGGATTTTATAAAGAATTTTTTTTAAAGGCCTATATAAGGCGTGGATTTTATAAAGAATTTTTTTAAAGGCCTATATAAGGCGTGGATTTTATAAAGAATTTTTTTAAAGGCCTTTCCAGGCGCGTCTTTTGTGCAGTTTTTCCAATGTGAAAGACCATTTTCGGCAATGTTGTCTTCGACTTGATCTGTCTAACGTATTCTTGACCTTCCCCTTCTGTGTGAACCATCAGCTGGTTCGCTTTTATATGCCTTCTGCGCTGGGGCATCTTCATCCATTCTCACAACATGACCTAGCCAACGTAGTCGCTGCAGCTCAATACGTCTAACAATGTCGGCGTCCGAGAATAGCTGGTACAACTCATGGTTCATTCAACGGCGATATTCACCGTCAACGGCCCATAGATCTTTCGGAGAATTTTACTCTCAAACACTTCAAGAGCTTACTCGTCTGCTTGCGTAAGTACCCATGCTTCAGATCCAGATAATAGCACGGGTAGTATCAGCGTCTTGCAAAGTGTGAGTTTGGTCTGGCGGGAGGTCTCGTATGACCATTTCCAGCAGGATGTTAAAAAGGTCACACGACAAACTATCTGAATCCTCGTTCGATATTAAAGGGCTCCGATAGGTCCTTTCCTACTTTAACTGCTGACCTTGTACCACTTAAAGTTATCCTGCATAGCCGACTTAATTTTGCAGGAATGCAAAACGCAGACATGGCTTTATACACCTCTGAACGGATAAGGATCGAATGCGGCTTTATAGTCGACGAATAGGTGGAATGTGTCGATGTGTTTTTCGTGGGTTTTTTCCAGGATTTGGCGCAGAGTGAAAATCGGGTCTGAATTCACATTGGTCAGGTCTGAAGCCACATTGGTATGGTCCAATAATGTCATTGACCATTGGCTTCAGCCGTTCACACAGTACGCTGGATAGCACTTTATATGCGATGGGAAGGAGACTTATTCCTCTATAGCTGGCACCAGGGACGTACGCAGGGGGGAGCCCTGGGGGCCCGCCCGTTGGTTGAATTTTCGGACTTCACTCTGACTTCTCCTGTACATCTCGATTTGCTCCCGCTCACGTTTTTCTTCCTCTTCCTTCTTTTTTCTGAAAATACGTTTCTCCTCTCTCCGTTTCTTTCGATAGTTCACCATCGCATTACGTGTTGCTACTGTCCGCAGGGTTGCTCTATACCCTGCGTTTTTCATATCAGTAGCATTATGACACTCCTGATCGTACCACGGATTTTTTGATAGTGGCCTTTGGTACCCAAGTGTAGCTTTTGCGGCAGTTTGTAGGAATTGGACAATTCTCTGCCACTGTGTTTCTATATTATTATCGGGACAAGGGGTGCTTTCGTCAAGCAGTTGGGTAAGTTGAGCGGAGTAGGCCTCTGCCACCTGTTGTGTTTGCAGCTTTTCTACGTCGAGTTTCCATGTTACATTAGATCGGATCTTTGCTGCTACAATAAAACGGGTGTGTACCTTGGCTGCCACAAGGTAATGGTTTGAATCGATATTCGCTCCCCGGATCGATCGAACGTCTAAAACACTGGATGAATGCCTTCCGTTTAACACAACATGATCGATTTGATTTCTCGTTGTTCGATCGGGAGAAATCCAAGTGGCCTTGTGTATATCGAGATGCTTGAATCTGGTGCTGCTAACTACCATGTTATTTGCTGGCAATCAACCTCATGCCATTGATGTTTCTTCATGGAGGCTGAATTTTCCGACGGTGGGGCCAAAGGTATTTTCCCTTCCGATTTTTGCATTAAAATCTCCTAGCAGAGTTTTAATGTCATGGTCAGGACAGTGATCATATGTTGTTTCTAGGTGCTCGTAAAATATGTTTTTGGTCTGTTCATCTTTATCTTCGGTCGGAGCATGGGCGCAAATGAGACTGATGTAGAAGAACTTCGCTTTTATGTGGATTATAGCAATTCGCTCATCTACTGGAGTGAATCTGGAGACGAAGTCTTTTATTCTCCTGTTAACCATAAGTCCGCAGCCAAATTCATGTCTCGTTTCATGACAGTGCGTAATCGTCTGATTTACTTACGCCAGTCCATTTCCATCACATTTCCTGTAAGGCAATAATATCGGCTTTGTTCTTCCTGAGTATATCCGCAAAAGCGAACACTTCGCCTGTTCTGTACAACGTGCGGACTTTCCAAGCGCAGATTCGCCGATCGTGGTCCTTTATACGTTTGCGGGGGTCGTCAACATTAGGGGGGTTTGGTTTTTTTCTTTGCAACAAACTCAACCATCAACCCATTTTTATACCCTCCACCATAGTATGGAGGGTATATTAGTTTTGTTTTTCCGTTTGTAACACATCGAAATAATCATTTTCGACCCTATAAAGTATATATATTCTTGATCGGCGTAGAATTCTATGACGATATAGCCATGTCCGTCTGTCTGTCCGTATGTCTGTTGTAATCACTCTAGCATCTACACGAATGGAGATAGATCGCCAAAATTTTGCATAGAGTCGTCTTTTGTCTGCAGGCAGGTCAAGTTCGAAGATGGGCTTGAGCGGTCCACGTTTAGGCATAGCTCCCATATAAGGGTACCCCCAAATTTTCGGTATTTTGGGGTTCTTGAGCGTGTTTTTCAACCGAATTCGCTGAAATTTGCTACCTTGGGTTCTTATTGGGTACTTAATATCACCACAAAAAAATATAAATATAGGTCCACTTTTTCTGGTAGCCCCCATATAACGGTACCTCCGAATTCGCAGTATTTTGGGGGTTTTGTTCGAATTTTTCCGCCGAATTAGCTGTAATTTAGTATTTTGAGCTCTTAGTAGATACAAAATATCTCCACAAAAAATTATGAATATAGGTCCATTTTTTCGGATAGCCCCCATATAAGGGTACCCCCAATTTTCGGTATTTTGGGGTTCTTGAGCGCGTTTTTCAACCGAATTGGCTGCAATTTGGTATTTTGTAGTCGTATGTGGTAACAAATCTCCCTACCAAAAATTATTAATATTCGCCCCCATTTTGGGGTAGTCCCCATATAACCCCCTTTTTATATTAAAATAGTTATCTGATTTGTTCCGCGATTTGAATTTGGTTCTAAGACTCTGTTGTAATCATTTCACCTGCGGAGGATAGCTAGATTAAAAATTAGAACGTAAGGTTCGATAATGAACTATAGCCGCATTTAGATTTAGCCCCTGTGTGGAGGTTCCAGAAGGAGTGAACCAATATTCCCCATCTTCGAATTTTAACTAGGTTTGGAAGAAATAATAAGATGGGCAAAGTTTGGATGAAATCTAAATTTTCTAAAACGGATGGTGTTTAGAACCAATATTTCGAAAAGGCACATTTTTACCGTGTTAATGTTTATACACCCTCATTAGCCAAAGGCTGAGGGTATATTTATCCATTAAAATTTTCTGAAATTTGTATTATGGTTTACATAATCCACTTTTAGGTATGTTCCCTATATTTTCATTTCTAGTACCTGTCAGTATATCTATGGTGGAGGGTATCCAAAGTTCGGCCCGGCCGAACTTAACGCTTTTTCACTTGTTATAGTTCTTATGGGTGAACTCGTGGCACATATTAGCTTACTATTTCATCGGGTGATGAAAATAGCTCCCCAGGTGGCACCGCGGGGAGGTCAGTGTCCACGATTGAGATCAAAGAGGGACCAAGATAAGTCATGTTAAAGCCAATCAGGGAAGTTGCTTGGTATCCATCATCACCTACGCCATTCATTGGATTTTATAAAGAGTATTTTAAAAGACCTATATAAAGTGTGGATTTCATAATTTCTTAAAGCCCTACATAAGGCGTACATTTTATAAAGATTTTTTTTTTTAAAGGCGTGCATTCGTTTTTTACTTAAAAAAAATTGTGATACTTGTATGATTACGGTTAAAGAAATACCTTTGTTATTCTCAACCCCATTATTAGTACAACTAGGCCATAACCAAATTCTTCAAATGTTTATTTTTCGTTACCAAAAAAAAAATGCCTGCCGATCCGCTTTAGCAAACATATTGTAACAATGGAAAGTTGTACGTGCTGCTATTTGTTTAAACATAAACTCACGAAATCATTCTCACGGCCACTAAAGACACACACACACCAAAAAAGAAAAGAAGAACTCCTTAGCTAAGCAATCAGAAACCAAAAATAACATCAGGATATCACACATTTGTGTGTTTGTGTGTGTGATGGAACAACACAACCGCGAACTTTAACTAATAAACCAAACACGTACAACACACAGTACGCCGTGTTCTCAACAATTTTTTAAATTAAATTGTTTCCAAAAAAAAAAAAAAAAAAACCAAAAGTCAACCTCTGCGATAGGGTATACAACCACACTCACGTACGGAATATATCCTATATAATTTTAATTTTGCATGCTGTGGGAGTGTGTGAGTGTTTAACTTTCAAAAAGATCAGTTAAAATGAAAAGGCGAAATTATGAAAATTGAAATTTGTAGGGAAAGTTGAAAGACAAAGGTTTGCAAAATGAATAAAAAAAATAGAGAACAATTTTTTAAATAACAAAAATGGCACACTTAGATATTGGGTGGGGGAGTCAATGAAAGACATTTAACCTTGGAAATATAAGTTCAGGTTAGAATAGGATACTCGTATGTCAACACAGCTTGATTTAAAAAAATTTGAAAATTTGAATGGTTCATTTTTTAATCGATTTGTCCTGAAGCTAGGACATTGAGTCCTCAGAAGAAAGTTGCTCCGATTTCTTAGACACAACTTAAACTTTCTAACCTCATTTCCTTGCCTCTTTCCATCGCCATTTTCCATCCCTTGCCATTGTTTAACTTAACAAAATACATATTAAAAAAAATGTCATTAAAAGAACAGACAAATATTCGTTTTCTTGGTGCTGGCAAAGTCTTTTCTTTTCATATTTAAGAACACGTAAAACGCAAATGAGTGCTCATATTATTAATGATGATGATGGCGATGAACAACGTTACGGCAATACCTGCTGTGGTATTTGTATGTCTCTAAAAAAATACAGCAAATGAATTTCGTGACTTTGACACGGTCATAAAATTTTCATGAGAGGGGAAAAATCAGTAAATTTGGAGTGAAAAGCTCCCTTAAATGTGTCAGCTGAACAAATTAGTGAAAGTTAAATATTTGTAACACTTTATAACGGGGTCTATAAATTTCGAAAAGAATGTTAAATGTTTGGTTAACCTAAATACAGGTTTGAGTATGGATATGGAGATGTATTCTATACGTCTTTAAAGGCCTTGGAAAAAAATTCTTTCAAAAATCCAAGCTTTATATAAACCTTGAAAAAAAATTCTAAAAAAAATCCAAGCTTTATATAAACCTTGAAAAAAACTTCTAAAAAAAATCCAAGCTTTATATAAACCTTGAAAAAAAATTCTAAAATAGGCCTTGGAAAAAATATTCTTTAAAAAATCCACGCCTTATATAGGCTTTGGAAAAAGTATTCTTTAAAAAATCCACGCCTTATATAGGCCTTGGAAAAAATATTCTTCAAAAAATCCACGCCTTATATAGATCTTGGAAAAAATATTCTTTAAAAAATCCACGCCTTATATAGGCCTTGGAAAAAATATTCTTTAAAAAATCCACGCCTTATATAGACCTTGGAAAAAATATTCTTTTAAAAATCCACGCCTTATATAGACCTTGGAAAAAATATTCCTTCTGTAGTGCCCTAGAAAAAATATTCTTTAAAAAATCCACGCCTTCTGTAGTGCCCTAGAAAAAATATTCTTTAAAAATGCACGCCTTGTATAGACCCTAGATTCACTAAAAATTCTCGCCTTGTGTATATCATAGATTCTTTAAAAATCCACGCCTTGTGTAGTACCCTAGAAAAATAATTCTTTAAAAATCTACACCTTCTAAAGATTTTGGTTTTCCCTTCTCTCCCCAGTAATTGGTTAAAGTATTGTATTGTTACAACCCCAAAAATTGTCCGACAATTTAAATTCTAATCTCAACATTTAACTAAAGCTATTAACAACATACGTTCGGATCTTTCACATATACACATATGCTATGTGACACACACATACTTATGTTACATATATGTCATATATCTCTTTTTACACTACCGTTTTGACTGACCACATTTTAAAGCTGTAGTGTCACACACACACACCCCCATACTCACTCGCCCAACAAATAATATCTGTTGAAGGGCGTAACAAATTTTATGTTTACAAAGTCATATAAAAGTGCCAGCAATAATGGAGCTGAAGACAAAAAAATAAATAAAATGACATTTTTGAAGCTAGAAAGAATTGTAGAAGGTCGGACCACATTAATGACCCGACAATTCCGAATATCCTCTATAAATACCTTTAGACCACAAAAAAAGGACAAAAAATAACTATTAAAGTGAATAGGCGTACATACAGACATATGTATGTGTGTGTGTGACTTTTGGTGGTCACACTGTAATGGCCCACACATGAGTGACTGTCAAGTTCATTAGACATTATGCCAAGGAACGTGAATGTTTGCGGCAATAGGAAGCACACTATTTGAAAAGTTTGTGGCAAATTTCAAATTCCATTGCAAAACCATACACAAAAAATCACAACAAAAAAGGGAAATAATAAAAACTTTATATTTTTAAACAAATCCTAAAAGATTATTTAATTTTTTTGGCAATGAAAGGAAGCAACAAAAATTCGGAATAAAATCTATAAGATATCCACGCCTTCTATTGGGGCTTGGAAAAAATATTCTTTCAAAATCCACGCCTTCTATATAGCCTATGGAAAAATATTCCTTAAAAATCCAAGCCTTATATGTACCTTGGATTTTTTTTATTAAATCTAAGCCTGGAAAAACATCCAACGTTTTTCCTCAAACCCCTATAATATTTTTACCTTTACACCTGCATTTCAAAAAAACATGCAAATAATGGTAATATTATAGTGAATATAATAAAATACATAAATAAATAAATAAACAGCGTGACACAGCATGACACTAAACGCAACGTCAAACATTGTCGATGACAATAAAACGAACCCAGAAGGCAGTAACAACAATTGCAGCCGCACTATCATCTCGCTGGCGAACAAGGAATCAACAATGGGCCACTGGCAACAACACACATTCATGTGTGTGTGTTCTTTTGAATGTGACAGGGTATTTATGTTAAGAACCTACAAGGACACATTAGCAAGCCATATCATAGACCTCACCACAGGCAACGCTAACAACAACTATGAATAACTCTTCTGAGCATGCCAGGCCGAATAGCCAAAAAAAAAAAAAAAACAAAACAAAAAAAACAGTGAGCGGAGCAGTATAGTCAGACGGGGCCGACCATACGATACCCTACACAACTACCACAGAACTCTATCATCGGATTTTTATTCCGAGCCTAGGTATTATTTCGTGATATTTGCATCCTCTTAACCGATTAGATTCTAGCACTGTTAATTACTTATTGAGATTCCTTTCAACGTGGGTTGTGTTGTGATGTTCGGCTTGTGACCTATAGATCGACTCAATAAACGCACAAAATTAAGTTTTCGGTCCACTGTATCCCTTGACCATAACTGGTACCTCTTGGAAAATGTTAATGTGATCAGTGCTTTAAATCCCACATTCGAGAACATCCAGACAAAATAATTGGTTTTAATTTAAAGGTCAACCACTCCTCTTGGATATACTATCAACTTCTCGGGTCTATGTCTTTCAGGGGCAAATATATACACCATAGAATACAATTTTTTTTAATTTTTCACACAAAAGTCAGAGACCATTTGCCCCGCTAAATATTGACTGATCTTTATCAAAACAGGCATGCTCATTATTAAGCCCGATCCCCTACTCCATGTAAAATTTCACGGTGTTCGGGCCATAATTGCAGCCTTTGCAGGGACCAGAAAACCGACAAAAATTAAGTATTTGGTCCATTTTATCCCCTTAATATTAACCGATCTTTACCAAAAAACAATAGGGGTCTTCATTGGGCCAAATCCATCCTACATGAACATTTCGTGAAGATTGGTCAATAACTGTGGCCTGTATCGCCTTACGTATGACTCTCTCCCTGGAAAAAATATTCTTTAAAAATCCACGCCTTGGAAAAATATTCTTTAAAAATCCACGCCTTGGAAAAATATTCTTTAAAAATCCACGCCTTGGAAAAATATTCTTTAAAAATCCACGCCTTGGAAAAATATTCTTTAAAAAATCCACGCCTTGGAAAAATATTCTTTAAAAATCCACGCCTTGGAAAAATATTCTTTAAAAAATCCACGCCTTGGAAAAATATTCTTTAAAAAATCCACGCCTTGGAAAAATATTCTTTAAAAAATCCACGCCTTGGAAAAATATTCTTTAAAAAATCCACGCCTTGGAAAAATATTCTTTAAAAAATCCACGCCTTGGAAAAATATTCTTTAAAAAATCCACGCCTTGGAAAAATATTCTTTAAAAAATCCACGCCTTGGAAAAATATTCTTTAAAAAATCCACGCCTTGGAAAAATATTCTTTAAAAAATCCACGCCTTGGAAAAATATTCTTTAAAAAATCCACGCCTTGGAAAAATATTCTTTAAAAAATCCACGCCTTGGAAAAATATTCTTTAAAAAATCCACGCCTTGGAAAAATATTCTTTAAAAAATCCACGCCTTGGAAAAATATTCTTTAAAAAATCCACGCCTTGGAAAAATATTCTTTAAAAAATCCACGCCTTGGAAAAATATTCTTTAAAAAATCCACGCCTTGGAAAAATATTCTTTAAAAAATCCACGCCTTGGAAAAATATTCTTTAAAAATCCACGCCTTGGAAATATATTCTTTAAAAATCCACGCCTTGGAAAAATATTCTTTAAAAATCCACGCCTTGGAAAAATATTTTTTAAAAATCTATGCCTTTCTAGGAGGCAAAAAAAATCTACGCCTGGTTTGGAGCCTTGGAAAAATATTTTTTAAAAATCCACGCCTTGGAAAAATATTCTTTAAAAATCCACGCCTTGGAAAAATATTCTTTAAAAATCCACGCCTTGGAAAAATATTCTTTAAAAATCCACGCCTTGGAAAAATATTCTTTAAAAATCCACGCCTTGGAAAAATATTCTTTAAAAATCCACGCCTTGGAAAAATATTCTTTAAAAATCCACGCCTTGGAAAAATATTCTTTAAAAATCCACGCCTTGGAAAAATATTCTTTAAAAATCCACGCCTTGGAAAAATATTCTTTAAAAAAACCACGCCTTATATAGACCTTGGAAAACTACTCTTTAAAAAATCCACGCCTTATATAGACCTTGGAAATATATTTTTACAAAATCCACGCCATATGTAGGCCTGCGAAAAATATTCTTTAAAAAATGCTCGCCTTACATAGGCCTCTAGAAAAAAATCTTTAAAAATACATTTCCTATATAGATGCTGTAAAAAATTATTTAAAAAAAATCCAAAATCTTAAATATTTTCTTTGCTTTCTAAAAAAAAATTTTCTCCGTCGAAAATTTCAGTTTTTCTTTTGCCAAAAGGAAAACAATGATTTCAAGAAGAAGAAGAATAGGTTCTACAGGAGGGATATTCAAAAGTGGCACAAGAACCAAAACCAAATAGCTTAAAGCCTTTTGTTGACATGGTTTCAGAGTGTGTGTGTGGTGTGCATTTATACGCAAGCGTGTTGATGCATTTGGCTTTAAATGCACACATACACATTGATATGTGTGGTGGATGTTACTTGAGGTAATATGTGATGGTGATCTGTATGTACAGTGGTTTCAAAAAATTGAGGTCCTCATCTTTCAAGGCCCCATACTTGAAGTGGCAATAATGTCTCCTCCTCCAACGGGCCAGAAATGTGCCTAAAGTGTTGATCAAAACCTATATATTATTTTTTTTCTACCCCACTGTGCCACCTCCATTCTTCTGCTGACTGGCTATAATAATGTTGAAGGCATCCTTGAAGGAAAAACATTTTTCTAAGCTCTTAAGGTTGCCGTATTTGGAGTGTGTAAAGTGGTGT